TGAAACAGCACCAAGGCCGACTTGCTCAACTTCTCCTATCTAGGCGCTGTTGCGCTTTGGATCCGCCATCCGACATAGCGGGTCGCTGTCGTGAACCATGAGCTCATCTGTAATCCAGAGTTGTGAGTCCCCAAGTTGTTCGAGTTGACGCATCGTCATGGGGAACATTCTGGAATCGAACATGCTTCCTTTATTTGAGCCTTGGACAGAAAGGCCCGTCTCAATCTAAGAAATTTAGCTGCATGATAAATTGTTCTAGTAATTACTGTGATAAACAATAATAATGATGTTTGAGACTAAGTAACATGTCGATAATGGCACAACAATGCAGGTTGGCCCTCTCAAAGACCGTTAAGCGTTAATTTTGTAAAGAATATTTCTATTTTCAATATATATCCACATTAGGGCAAAAAACAACAAATGATAAAATAAATAAATCATTGTGGGGAAAAAAATTACTTTAGCAAGAGTCTGGATGAGAAGAAGTAAGAAATGTATTAAAACCTTGCAAGGTGAAAACAGAAATACAGAGTCAAATGTGTCTGTCAAGTCTGCTCTGACCAACAGTGGATCTGGCTTCCTTTTATAGGTTCTGGTCAGAGATGAGAGACTTGATTGGACAATAGGTGTGAATCTCTGATTGTTATGGATCAGCGATTCTGTGGAGCCCAACTCAAATGGTCTGGCCGTGTGTCTATTGTTATGGTTGAGGGGGCGGGGGGGTTGTTCTTTCATGCTAAAGAGGGTGGATCACTTCTACAATGGGGAAATAACATTTAGGTGGTCTCCAGGATGAAGGACGTCCCCTGCTGCTACATGGCACTGTGGAAGTCCATAGGAGAGCAGCTTGACCAATCTCATGATGAGATCATCCAAACAACGTGATGTCATCATCAGACACAATCTAAAGCACAAGAGGGGTGAAGAGCACATTATAAAATGTTCCATTACACAGTGAGGAGAAAAGAAAAGACAAACAAAAAGGGTGTCCTAGTTACTAGGAGGAAACGAGGAAATTAAAAACTTTCAAACTTTTTTTGCCAAACATTTCCATGTCTTAAACAAACCATGTAAAAAATAAATAAATAAATAAATAAATAAACACTGCAGAGACAACAATGCCCAGCTTCCTTTGTTTGGATACTTTCGAATGCCGTTTTATTCTGCCATCTTTATTAGTTCAGTCTACCGCTGCGGTTAAGCGCTGTAACTGCGGCGGTTATGTTTATTCCATGGCAGCTCTTAGTGCACAACGCCGTTAAGAACCTCTCTCTTCCACAAGATCTGTGTCAGATCCCACGGGATATCAATCACAAAGCAGAAAAAAAAATACCTTGTGAACTATTTCTGCATTAATGAGATATAAAGATGCTTTTTTTTTCCTTCTTTTTCTTTTTTTTTTAATACTTTGATCAATAGGAGAGGGTTGGGCTGAATTAGGATGCAGATATGTCTTGTGTTGAAGGCCGCTGCTACCGCTTGTGAGCGGAGCAGGTCAGCTCGCCCTCGGTTACCAAGTCATTCGTCTGAATAGCCTCATTTAGAAACCGGAGGAGCTTACTCAGAAGGTGGAAGTGCAGAGCCAGACAGGGTTGGCCGGGGTGACGCTGCGATTGTGTGTTTTGTTTTGTTTTGCTTTCTAATCCAAAAAGGGCAGCATTTGGACTCATCCCTTGCGCCAAACGCTGTGCCACCGCGTCAGACGCCGATGCCTGAGCTGTAAATTCACCCGGGCGAGCGGAGCGCTTGCAGCTGCGTTCACACGCAAGCAGCAGCAGCTTGAAACTGTGCTCAGATAAGCCTTTCGGAATGCGTAAAAATGAACTTTAAACACATAACACATTGGCGCAGGAGAAAGTCGTCATCCCTCTGGAGTTATGTGGGATTTCCTTACTTATTGCTCCTTAAATGTGATCTGATGTTCATTTTGGTCACAGTAGCACAGTCCAACTAAATTTACTGTTCTACTTTTATTGTCGCTGCTACACACTCAGCGGAGATTTACAGTGAGTGACAGTCAAAGTGTTCTATGCGAGTTTAAGTATTTGGGCGGAAAAACGTCTCTAAGATCTGCTTACAGTGCTGGGAAAAATGTTTCTTCCCCTACGTTTTCTTTTCCCGTGTAGGCACAAACGCCTCAGGCCGTCGAGCAAATTTTCAAATAAGGCAGAGGTAACTTGAGCAAGTTTATCATAGGGGTAAAGGTTATCTTTCCTTGCTGAATCAACTGTGCCTGATCATATGTTTAAGTCATTGAAACTCCACAGAATCAGAGTTAGTCGTTATTCATATTCCCAGCCGACCGAATTTATTGAGAGAGCTCAGCAATCACTCCTCCAGGAGTCACAGAATAACTCAGAACAACGTCTAAAGCTCTGCACGTTTCACTTGCTTGAATTAAGGTCAGGACATTTGATTCAACAAAAAGAAAGAGAGCAACAAAAAAAAAAAAAATAATGCATCTACTGTAAAGCTCCAAGGCCAAAAACACTGTTAGCCAAGCACAACACAAAAGTCGAACTTATATTTCCCCATTTCATTTCTTGACGAACTCCAAAGCCTTTGGTCTTGGAGGAAAAGGGAAACTTTCTGAAGGTGTGTGTCCAGTTTTGGATTGGCACCATGCTGGACTTAAATCTTCTTGAGATGCTCAGGTTTTGCCTCAAATAGACTATTTGTGCCAAGAAAGCCCTTCAATGTGGCCGAATTGAAAGAATTTTGAAGAAAGAAAGAAAAAGTCTTGGACAAAATTCCTCCACAGTGATCCAAAAGTGTCAGGGTGCTTTTTGAAGAGAGTACGATGACAAACAACAGTGGGTAAGCGGAAAAAAAGGGGAGAACTCATATGAACGTCTGATTGTGTTAATCAATTAGAAGAAAATCAATTTTAAAGACATCCAAGATCTTCATAGGGGGTTAACATTTAATCAATCCCAGTAGGTCCCATACAAGAAGCCTATTGTGAGCCTCCAGAGTTACCATGGGCCTCTTGGCTGCTTTTCTGATTGGCTTTCTGCTCCTTTGTCTTTATGATGCTGTTTGATTTTATTTATGGGCGTCAGAGATAGAGGGCCTGAATACAAATGCACGCCACACTTTGAAGATTGCATTTCTACAAAAAAAACAAAAAACAAAAACAAAACTGTTTGTCTGTCTCGTAAAATCCGACTGAGATGAAGGGGGGGAACCCGTTAATACTTTTTGAGGGTACTGTAAATCCTACTGGGAAAAAAAAGCAAGTTACACCAACGTAACGCAGGAAAAACAAAGACCCACAGCATCAGATTCAAGAATATCTGAGCTCATAAGAAGTTCAGACATGGTTATGTCTCAATAGCACTTTATATGATGTGGTAATAACCCAGTACTAATCGTTAAAAGAACATTTAGAAACAATGTAGCCAAACGTTTTAAGTTGTTTTAAAGTCCAGCATCATCGAGAGAACAGTATCTCAGAATTTTCAAAGTCAACACTTCCTATTTAAAACAATCAAAGTAAAACAAAAAATAATAATAATTTTTATAAGACATTACATACTCTGTTGCTAACCTGCGAAACAGACGGGGGAGACCCCCGGGGGAGCAGAGAGACAGAAAGAAGCGGGAAAGGAGGGGAAGGGAGAACGCCGGCGCATCGGGGCGGAGGAGACGATTGGACACATGCTGCTATTGTGAAGTCAGAGAAACAGAGCCCAGCGGTCACATGGTTTCCATCTCATTAACACCTGCAAGGCGGTGGAAAAAGTTTCAGGGTGAGGTAACAGGATTCGGGGATAGAAGGAAAAGATCGGACTGGCATTGTTTTTATAGCTGGACCCGACGAAACGCATTCAATAATCCCCATGTTAGACTTAATTAAGGCTCTGTTTACCAAACAAGCGCCGCCAAGGGAAAAATCTGGATGGCAGAACGCGAGAAATTCAGCTGACGAGATAAAATACCTCGGCAAAGATGCACAATGCTAATTGAATTAAGGATAATTAAAACCTAACTGTGATTGCGCTGGGAAACGCTTTTTGGTGTCACTTCAAAATAATGAGCATGATCCGGTGACTTTCATTCACCGTTTGCCAGAGAATTTGGCCAAAAAACACAGCAATTTAGTTGACTGAGAACAAATTAGCACATCCAGGCTTTCGTTTATAAATTGTTTGCTCTTGTCTCCATCCGCTTTGCATATCTGGAAGCTGAAATTTCGGCCTGTTCTTCTTGGCAAACATGGATCAGGACCAATCAGATTAGATGGAAAAACTTCCCGGGAGGAGCAACGCACCAACAGGATTGTCTTGGACTTTGACTGGGCCACTCTCGAGCATATGAACATGCTTTTGATGTGAAATCATCCAACTGAACTCATGGCTGAGTGTTTAGTGATGCTGGAAGGTGAACCTCCACTCTGGTTCTGAAGTATTATGTTTTCCAGAACTTGCCCTATATTTTTTGCACAGTTGCCACCGCCATTTGGTTTTACAGATTTAGCAGTTGTTTTGTTTGTTTGTTTGTTTGTTTTTGCCACACGGTGTTTTCGAAAAACGTAAGATTTCCCTTGTCAGATTCGAGATATGGAAATGAACCTGATTTTTTTTTTTTTTTTACTAGAAAGTATTAAAAAGGTTTTATGATGTCTGTTTATTGTCTTCTAATCTTCATCTACAATAAGTTTATGTGATTCTCTCTCCAAACAATAAACCTTGAGCCGCCTTGAGTCGACACTTTATAGAAACACCAAGTTTTTCACACTCAGTAAATGGATTTACTGCCTATTTATATTTGCAGAAAAGCTCAGAGTTACAAAAAGAGAGAGAGAGCGAGAGACAGAGAGTGTGTGTTTCAGTCAATAGCAATATTGATATCTTGATTTAAATCTGGACCACAGCATGATGCTGTCACCACCATGTTGGGTAGAAGTCAAAACTTTAACTATTTTTTTTGTTTGTTTGTTTTATTTATTTATTTATTTATTGCTGTTGTTGTTGTTTGTTTGTTTGTTTGTTTGTTTTTCCCAAAATGTAGTTCCCTGCATTTAAGTTGACCGAAAAACCACCAGTTTTGCTACCTCTCCCGCTTCTCTCTGAAAGTGTCCGTGGGGTTCTCGCTGCTTTCTAAAAACACGGGGCCTCTTGTCTGGTGTCACTGCAGCGCCGTCTGGCGGCCGCCGGCTGGCATCGTGACAAAGTGATTCTAGTTTCCCGGAGGATGAGGCAAATGTTTTCCCCCCGACTTGCAGGACCTGCAGTGTGTGCGCGGGAACTGAACGCGTGGGTTTACCCCCACCATTCCACGGAAACGGCCCACTCAGTTGCACGTTCTCACAAGGAGTGTCATGTTTAACAGGCATCTGGACTGACAGCCATCCAGGCTGCCCCCGGCGCTCACCCTCCCTCTCCGTCACTCCTCTCCTCACTCCCCACCTCTGTGTTTCTGAAGCCCAGAGTTGACGGGAGGTAATCCCCTCCATGTGAGTGGGCGGTGCGGGTACCGGAGGCGTGTTTTTTTCTTCTATTATTCAAATGCTGCTGTACCTATAAAAAGAGGTCCTGCCTGCGTCAGATTGTTTTCTCCAATGGCTAAAGGTGACTGAATATTAGTTGCCTCGGTGTCGTCCTATCGGCAAGGGAAGAGATGATGGACGACTCCGGCGGTGTCCAAATGGCGAGGGCGCTGAAACACGCAGCCCTGTGCCTGATGCTGCTGCCCCGGTTCCTGCTGGCCGCCGTCATGCTGTGGCTCCTGGATTTCCTGTGCATCAGGAGAAAAGTGCTGCTGAAAATGGGCGAGCGCCAGGACAGCCAGGACGACCCGCCGGTGTGCGTCTCCGACTCCAACAAGATGTTCACCTGGGAGTCCCTCAGGGCCGTGTGGCACGGCCAGAAGCTGGACTTTCTCAAATCGGCGCACCTCGGGGAGGCTGCCCCCAACACCGAGGTGGTGCTGGTCCAGGAGCGGCGGCAGGTCCGGATCCTGGACTGCACGAAAGGGAAGAGACCGCTCGTCCTCAACTTTGGCAGCTGCTCCTGACCGCCGTTCATGACGCGCCTGGCGACGTTCCAGCGCGTCGTCAGGCAGTACGCGGACATCGCGGACTTCTTAGTTGTGTACATCGAGGAGGCGCACCCGTCGGACGGCTGGGTGAGCTCCGACGCGCCCTACCAGATCCCCAAGCACCGCTGCCTGGAGGACCGGCTGAGAGCCGCGCAGCTGATGTTCACCGAGGTGCCAGAGAGCAACGTGGTGGTGGACAACATGGACAACTCGTCCAACGCCGCTTACGGAGCCTACTTTGAGAGACTTTACATCGTGATGGATGAGCGGGTGGTGTACCAGGGTGGGAGGGGTCCGGAAGGCTACCGGATCTCGGAACTGAAGAACTGGCTGGAGCAATACAGAAAAGAGGTGATGGACCCCCAGAAGGAGGTGCTGTGTGTGTAGCCGAACCTGCCCTGCTGCTCTGCCCTCCGCTTTAGTGTCCAAACCCACAGTGCAAAATATCCAGATGCTGCTATCAAACGTTCACACATGGCACATTATATATGAATATTATATATATATATATATATATATATATATATATATATGTTGTTTCTATTGCATTAAGATGTTCAGGACTGACAGATAGGGGTTCAGTTTAAGTTGACGCCTTTAGATTGTAGGCTGTTAAACTGTGTTGTCATGACTTTAAATTGATTCCTCATAGCGATTTTTTTTTCTCTTTTTTGTATGGAAAAAAGTATTTGAATCAATTGAAGCTGGGTTCAGTTGGTGACCACTATTTTTCTATTGTGTGTGTGTGTGTGTGTGTGTGTGCGTATGAGGGTGTGTGTGTGTGTGTGTGTGAAGGAGCGTGCATTCAGCTTAATATCTCACTTTGGCGTCTGTGTGAAGTTCGGTTTTTAAAAGGCGCATCCAGAAAACCGACACTGATGTTCCTGACACTGGAAGCAGAGCCATATTAGCTGGATGCTCGCTCCCTCTGTGGTTCACTGCCAAACGATGTGATGTTGAAAACGATGTAGCTGAAAAATATGTTGTTGTTTTTTTTTTAAATAAATAAATAAAATAAAATTCAGATCAGATGAAAGGTGGGGAGACACCTTAAAGTTATTTATATTTTGTTTTTGTTTTTTTTGTAAGTGTGTCGCATTAAATGAGCGTATTTGTTCTTTAACTAGACCATTGAAAACCTAGAAAGGTTTTAATCCGAACTAGGGTTATCAAATGTGAGGTCCGGGTGCCTTTTGTGGTCTTATGGGTGATTTTTTGTGCGGCCCACACACACACACACACAATTGAAGTACAGCGGAATTTAGGTTTATTTCATTAATCATTAATCATTAATGCCTGCCTTTTGGAGGGAAAAATGTTAGGTGCAACAAAAAGTGTTCATTTTTTAATAGATTCCCCCCCCCCCCCCCTCCACCCTCATCTCCACCATAATTTATTCCAGCTCATCTTCAATTTAT